ATTTTAAACAATTAATTGTCCAATGTTAGGCGTGAAGAATTCCCATACAAATGAGATGAAATGAAACAACATATGTACCATTTGTGAATGTTAACTGGAAATAAATAATGTAATGGTAAATGAATTTTTGATAGATACACTATGTACATGGAGAATGTATACATATTTCAGAACTAGAATGTTACTAGTTATAGTAAGTAAGTAACATATGGACTGCAAAGACTGCAATGTCAAAGTAAGTCAACCATATAAACAAGCTAGGATAAGAAGATAATACAAGTACAGAATAGATATAGTAAAATTATGCTTGGAGTAAAGTCCAGTGAATTCATACAAACGTGACTGACCTACAGTAACTACTTCTGATAACTTACAGATAATGTGGTTCCAGGAAATAAAATTTTGTATCAAATCTACTTGAACAAAAATGCTTAATGACTACGTCTACCTTATGTAAGAATGGGAAGAATCATACATGGGCACTGTAGAAATAGTGAATACAAGTCAGTGAAAAAAAATAAAAAATAAAATCATAGTTTAGCAGGAAGAGATTGATGTAGTTCCAGTTGTTGCCAGCTCCACTTGTGATCCATACCATGAAGGGCAACCAAAGTCTCTGTTGGAGTGAGAGAAAAAGTATGATTAGACTGCTTGTGACACAAATTTCCTATTTGTCTCCCGGACTTATTCAACACTTACCCAAATGTTCTGTGACAACTTTCAGTTCTTTTAAATTGGCAACATAGAGGACTTCCTCTCCCCTGTTAAAAAAACACCAATAAAGCCATTGCAGTCATAACAAATAATCAGATAATATTATAAAAAACAACATCAAATATGCACTGATAGAGCATACCTTCTAATTTTATGTATTGCACCAACAGATACAAGTGCTTGTAGTCCACAACTAAGGCCATCAAGGGAAAGCGCTGCAGGATGTGACACTTCCCCTGACTTAAGACCCATTTCTACTCTGCGCTGAGCTTCACAAAGAACCAGTCTTTCTGGACGAGCTTCACCACATACCTGATACACAATAGTACCGTAGTTGTGTGATTATTTAAACAATAAGAAAGTGTTCCATGTCATGCTGAGAGAATGTAGAATTAAAAATTACCTGAGCTAATGTTTGACTGAGAGCAAGATATCCAGCAAAAAATGGATGTAAGACATTGCACAGCAACACTTGCAATTTACGATGGTTTCCCAAACTTAATAGGCCTGCTGAAGTGGTTTCGACTATGTTCACAAGGTCGAGAACTCTCAAAGCTTCGTCAAAGTCCTAAAGAAATAAGAAAAGAAAAGCACTAATATTAGAGATCAATAGAAAATAAGTAAAATGCACCATTGAAAACAAATAAGCTCTTAGTAAACAAATTTAATTGTCAGAAAAAAAAGAAGAAATACTTTTAATGGATCTTGTCAATCAATGTCACACAAGAACAAGCAAAACAAATAACAGATCAGATAAAAATATTACAAGGAATCAGACATTCCAACAGTCAAAACATACCTTCTCCTCCCAAGTTTTGTGCATGACAAATTCATGAGAAAGCATCCCTCTCACAAGCTGGTATCTTGGAAATAGATTGTCTAGAGGAGAAAAAAGAAATGGCTATGTTGAAAACACATAAAATTGTCTGTTTTGTAGATGAGCAGTTGTGTTGTATTTGCTATACTGTGTTCATTTTCTGTTTTAAATGACGATAATGGGAGGCCCTTTGAGCTAATAGTAAAATCTGCAAATATTTTAACACTAATGCATAGTGGCAGAGATGAAGATAACGGCTTTACCTACCTCTACTAATCTCTCCACTAGGTTCCAAATGTTGCATGACTGTGGTGATCATAGCTGGGTTAGCAAGGAAATGAAGTGTTGGATTCACATAGTGTTGAAGCATTAAAAGAGGTACTGCACGATTCATTGTGTCATCCAATAACGCATGACCTATCAAGATAAATTAAAGTAAGACATTGCACACAGACTGAAATAATTTGGCACATGGAATAAATCAGTAAAATGAATGCAAACCTTTGAGCCTTGAAACATCAACTTTTGTTCCTGGAGTATGTACCGCCTTTAGTTGCACTCCTCCATCAGGTAATAAAGTAATTAGAGACTTATGAACATGCAATGCCTCTCGAACACATATCTCAACATCCCCTATAATCATATAGATAAACAAATACACAATAAAATTTCAATTCATCTCACTGTGAGTTAGAGGGTTTTATAATTTAACAGTCTCAGTTACCTGATATATCTACTGTAGCACCAAACATTTCAATAACCGACCGGAACCAAGCTACTTCCTTAACCAACTCAGAGAGCTGCATATCAAATGTCCCATTTGTCAATAGATTATTATTCAAGATAACTGCTACTAAATGGAATGGAGAGAGAACACTGATTTGCTGTTGGCTGTTAGTGAAAAAAAGAGCCCCTTGATAAAAAAATATCCATCAAGTAACAATCTCATTAAAGTTGGCATTGTAAAAATATTTACCTGCGTACTATTTGATGAGAAAGAATCCTTATCATTGACATTTCCTGATCAGAAAGTGACTGTAAATGAATTGGTCCCATTGAATGACTTGATCTTTGGAACATGTGACTCTTAAGAAAGTCACGAACTGAAATGGCTTCACCAAAATCTGCGTATATTTTACCATACTTTTCATCCAGAGCATTTAGTGCCTTTATCAAACCCTAAATAAAGAAATTAGATGGTTAAAAGGAGTTTCTAAATCTTAATTCTAATAAATCATAGGACAAGAAAGAAATGAAAAATTAACACTGACTGAAGTTGATTCTCTGGGTTTTGGCACTCCCAGCAGCTCATATGAGAACAGCTTTTCCTCCAAGATTCTATCATAACTGATGTTAATGGGGACAACAAGAACATCAGGAATTTGCCCTGTGAGAAAAGGCTCCAAAGCCATAGACAAAAATCCTGAAAATACAATTGAATAAAATTATTATACATTTAAATGCTGTTATATTGAGGGTATCAATTGATAATAAAGTAACTTACCAAACTTAGGAACAAGAGACTTAGCACTTCTGCTGCGCGTTCCTTCAATGAAGAATTCAACTGGTGCAGTACCTTGGCAAATAAGTGTCTGCACGTATTCACTAAAGACTGTGTAATAAAGTTTGTCTCCAGAAAATTGCCTTCGCATAAAAAAGGCACAGCAATCTCGAAGCAAGGTACCCATGAGCCACATTGCCATAAAATCTGTTGGAAGAAAAAAAATTATTGTTAATAGAATAGGTTAATAAGAAAGACTTAACATGAGGACATAATGGATTACCTACCCACGCCTGCAGCCACACATGGTATTTCAATGGAGTAGTGAAAACAAATGTATGCCATGAGAATAAAGTCAGCATAGCTGCGATGACTTGGAGCAAATATTACTGGAGTGTTTCCCATAGAGGACTTCAACTGAAACAGTAAATACAAATCAGTTTAAAAATTGTAACAAATTATGGTTGAACTGATAAGTGTGTTAATCTCTCATTACCTTGGAAATAGCTTCCTCATTCACCATTAGGTTTGAGCATGTCTTTTTCAAAACTTTTGTGACAAATAAGCCAATCCACCTAACAATAGATATTTGTCGATTATGACCAATTTCTGTTAGTTGTTCCTCCACTTCTTTATACAATACTTCAGGAGCAATACCACGTTCTTGACTTAGCTGTTCAACAAAAAATTAAATAAACTCATCTACCCCAAGGAATTATGTATTTTATTGAAAAGAAGAGCACATAATCAATAACCATGCGCCTTACCTCTTTAATTACTTCCTTAATACGCATGCTGTTAAGCACTGCCTTTCTGACATCTATTGGATTTGTGGCTTGAGCATCTCTCACAGTACGAATAGGATTCCATTCTCTGGTTATCCATGCCACATCACTTGAGTGGCGACGTTCTTCTAGTATATCACTAAAACTGTTCATGTTTCGAAATGAACTTGTGCCAGTTACTTTGTGAGTTGACATCCTGAAATAAAAGGTGAGAGAAGAACATAGCATGAAATATATAAAAACATCTTTTGGAGGCATATCTTAAAATTATTGGCATATGCATTCAACAATTATTGCTCCAAACTAACTCAATACTCTTGCTTCAAAATCCCAGGATTCACTAACCTAAGCAACAATATTTTTGATCACTTAAATGTCTTTGACACGAACGCCTACGCCCAAGTCTTGAACACCATTCGTAGAGCATGGTATTTCGGGACAGTAGAGGAAGAGGAGAGGACACAACCCGAAAGCACCAGAGAGAACTGGACTGCACCGGAGCGAACGGAAGAGACAGGGCAGACGACAAGACAGGGCGACGAATGGGGGTGCGGGTTGCAGAGGGCTGCAGGACCACAGGACCCCCAGGACCCACACTAACTGCACAACCTTGAATGAACACCGCAGCCTGGCTCCCCCACCTGAGTACTGATGTCGATGTGTGTGTGTGCCCGCTGGTTAGCGAGCCTCAAGCAGAAAACACGACTATTGTGTGTGTACACAAAGCTCGGCCGGTCCTCGGCGGGTCCTCGACGGGCGGCGGAGCAACGCGACGAAAGCACCGACCACTCCTCCCTTGACGAACAGTTGCCAACGTGCAAGTCAATTCAAGTCCTCGTAGAACGACGGGCGTTCTGAAAAGAAACGCGATCTTTCAACAACCGGCATTCATACAACCCATTCTCTTATTAATCTTACAAACTGGGGCCCAAATATCAAGTGCCTGGTACGACCATGAAGTAAAGGACGAAAAAACAGTTAGCTTATATGGGTTGGCACATCTGATAGCAGAAGATACAGCAGAAGACATAACTTTCGATTGAAATGAGAGGGAAAAAATAGAGAAAGGAAATGACAGATTCGTTTAAGGGTTCAAGCTCCCTGTCTTATGAAAGAATTTGAGTCTTAGACTATTTTAAGACAAAAATATTTCTTGAGATAGTGTCGGGATACGCGCCACTTAACAACCCCCGCCAAGAAAATGTAACTTATTTGTGGTGGTCTACAGAGAATCCGCAGAAGCGGCATTGCAAGGATGGAGCTGACGTCTCTTAACAAGAAACAGAAATATGCGATTGACAAAAAAAAAACAAAAAAAAAACAAAACGTCGTTCTCTTCGTTTCCATCATCCCCGTCTCTGTGATTCCCACCCC